GGATCATTTGTGTGTGTGTGTGTGTGTGTGTGTGTCTGCGAGTATGTATAATGTGTATCTGTGTGTGCGCATATGTCTGTCTGCATAGGTGTGTTTGTGTAACTATCAGCGTGTGAGTGACTGAGTCTGTGTGTGTGTGTTTGTGTGTGTTTCTATGCGCATGTGTGTGTATTTCTGTGTGCACATGTGTTTGTGCATGCTTAAATGTATGCATGTTCGTTAGTGTGCGCTTGCACATGCATGCGTGTTTGCGAGTGTGTATGTCTGTGTGTGTGTAACTGTCAGCGTTTGAGGGACTGATTGTGTGTGTGTGTGTGTGAGTGTATGTCTTTGCATAGATGTGTGTGTAACTGTCTGCATGTGTGTTTGTTTATATGTGCATGTGTGTGTGTTTGTGTCTAGGTGTGTGTGTGTCTGTGCAAATGCGAGCGCATACATAAGCATGTATGAGAGTGTGTGTGTGTCTCTGTGTATAAGCTTGTCTGTCAGTGAGAGTGTTAGTGAATGTGGGTCTGGATGTGCAAGTGTGTTTTTGTGTGTGAGCTTGTCTGTATGCATGCATATATGTGCGTGTGTGGATGTGGAAGTGTGTGTAAAGCCAGTATAGTGACCATGTGCCAACTAGAGCGGGCGCTCTGCCACAGCTACTGAAGTGAAACGGCACTAATGAAAGACATTTACATTCAGAAGAGAGCAGAGCAGAGCAGAGCAGGCCACGGCTGAAGACCAGCAGAGATTGACTGCTCACACACACTGAAGATGAATGAATGAATGAGTGGTAACCCGATGTAAACAGAGATCACTTATAGACACACACACACACACACTGTCTACATGATGCAACAATATTCCAGCGACAAGCAATTGTGTGTGTGTGTGTGTGTGTGGTCAGGTATAAAGTGAGCAGCAGATTAAGGTGCAGAGATCAGGTCAGATAAGAGCGTCTCTCCTTCACTGTGTGTGTGTGTGTGTGTTATCTCTGTGATCATACAGTCATTATGTACAGTCGCTCTTCTCTCTTTAAATCCTGCAGTGTGATTCTGATCTGTACAGTAGTGCTGTAGTACAGTAGTTTAGTGCTGTGATCAAACGTAATTGACCAAACATGCTGTGTTTGAGAGTGAAATGCATCATGTGACCCTGAAGACTGCAGTAATGATGATGAAAATCCAGTGTTAAATCTCACAAGTAAACAGCGCTTAAACTACATTCAGTGAGGAAAGAGTGATTATCAATAATAAACACATTTTACAAATATTTTACTGTAGTTTTTTCCTTTTTTTTTTGCTTTATTAAATGAAGAGGGCCTCTATTAAGAACATTTTTGAGAAATTATATTGATCCCAAACATTTAACCAAGTTTGTGTACCTGGTAATGCATTTACATACAAGATACATTATGGGGCCCAAATGTCCCCTCAAGTATAGCAATACGAGTAATTGTAGACCTTATGGGGACATTTTTGGTGTGTGTGTTTGTGTGCAGACCTGGTAATCTCTGTATTATAGGGCCCAAATGTCCCCTCAAGTATAGCAATACCAGTAATTGTAGACCTTATGGGGACATTTTTTGGTGTGTGTGTGTTTGTGTCCATACCTGGTAATCTCTGTATTATGGGGCCCAAATGTCCCCTCAAGTATAGCAATACCAGTAATTGTAGACCTTATGGGGACATTTTTTGGTGTGTTTGTGTGCATACCTGGTAATCTTTGTATTATGGGGCCCAAATGTCCCCTCAAATATATTAATACCAGTAATTGTAGACCTTATGGGGACATTTTTTGGTGTGTGTTTGTGTGCATACCTGGTAATCTCTGTATTATGGGGCCCAAATGTCCCCTCAAGTATAGCAATACCAGTAATTGTAGACCTTATGGGGACATTTTTTGGTGTGTGTGTGTTTGTGTCCATACCTGGTAATCTCTGTATTATGGGGCCCAAATGTCCCCTCAAATATAGCAATACCAGTAATTGTAGACCTTATGGGGACATTTTTTGGTGTGTGTGTGTTTGTGTCCATACCTGGTAATCTCTGTATTATGGGGCCCAAATGTCCCCTCAAATATAGTAATACCAGTAATTGTAGACCTTATGGGGACATTTTTTGGTGTGTTTGTGTGCATACCTGGTAATCTTTGTATTATGGGGCCCAAATGTCCCCTCAAATATATTAATACCAGTAATTGTAGACCTTATGGGGACATTTTTTGGTGTGTGTTTGTGTGCATACCTGGTAATCTCTGTATTATGGGGCCCAAATGTCCCCTCAAGTATAGCAATACCAGTAATTGTAGACCTTATGAGGACATTTTTGTTGTGTGTGTGTTTGTGTTCATACCTGGTAATCTCTGTATTATGGGGCCCAAATGTCCCCTCAAGTATAGCAATACCAGTAATTGTAGACCTTATGGGGACATTTTTTGGTGTGTGTGTGTTTGTGTCCATACCTGGTAATCTCTGTATTATGGGGCCCAAATGTCCCCTCAAATATAGTAATACCAGTAATTGTAGACCTTATGGGGACATTTTTTGGTGTGTTTGTGTGCATACCTGGTAATCTTTGTATTATGGGGCCCAAATGTCCCCTCAAATATATTAATACCAGTAATTGTAGACCTTATGGGGACATTTTTTGGTGTGTGTTTGTGTGCATACCTGGTAATCTCTGTATTATGGGGCCCAAATGTCCCCTCAAGTATAGCAATACCAGTAATTGTAGACCTTATGAGGACATTTTTGTTGTGTGTGTGTTTGTGTTCATACCTGGTAATCTCTGTATTATGGGGCCCAAATCTCCTCTCAGGTATAGCAATACCAGTAATTGTAGACCTTATAGGAACATTTTTTGTTGTGTGTGTGTGTGTTTGTGTGTGTGTTACCTGGTAATCTCTGTATTATGGGGCCCAAATGTCCCCTAAAATATAGCAATACCAGTAGTTGTAGACATTGTGGGGACATTTTCTTGGTGTGTGTTGAATTAGTTGTGTAAAAACAACTCTTGTTGATGCGTGTGTGTGTTTGTGTTTCTGCAGAATCTGCTGGTGAACCACGGATGAAGACGATGGTTTGATGCTGAAGAGACTCCACATCCGTCCTGTGTGTGTGTGTGTGTGTGTGTGCGCGTGCGTGTGTGTGTTTTAAGCTGATCTTCATTTACTGTGAGCAAATAAAGTCTCCTCAGCTTCTGTGTGTCTCTTCAGTCTCTCATTTCTTCACACACTCGAGTTGATCAGGCTGTTCTCTGCAGGCTCACGCTCATCAGCAACCGTTACACACCTGTGGACTCCAGATAAAACCATTTCTTTGTTTTGCTCTTGTTGACTTCTCATGTTTTTCTTTACATTATTTCTTTATAAATGGCAAATATATTTATTTTATTTGACTGATTTCTCCGTTTTCTTTCAACCTTTCGTTTTAATTATCTTGTTTCTCATTTTTAAAAAATCTAGATATAATTGTCTGATTTATTGATTTGGTTTATTAAGAATTTGTTTTTCAGCTTTTCTACTTTTTTTTGTTTTGATTTTTTCAAAATTAATTTTCCCCATTTTTGGCTCCCTGTGAAGTGTTTTATTGTTGCTGTTTGTTTGTTTAATTTTGCATGATTGTTGTATTGTTTTTTTTTCTAAAAAGTAAAATTGAATTTGGATCATTTGAGTGGAATAATACTAATAATAGAGCCTCATTTATTTTACAAAAATACTGTAAATTTGTTATGAAAATTGTTGAATTTATATAACAAAATTACATTTTTATTATAGTGAAATTATTATCATTTTGCTATTAGTATTAGAATAATATAATTTATTATTATTACTATCATTATTTGTATTACTACTGCTACTATTATTATTGTTGTGTCATTTTCGTTGGCTTATCCGCGGCTGGGTCGCAGGGCAGTCTTAGGGGAGAACCCCAGACTTCCCTCTCCCCAGACACTTCCTCCAGCTCCTCCGGGTGGATCCCATGGCATTTCCAGGCCAGCCGAGAGACATAGTCCCTCCAGCGTGTCCTGGGTCTTCCCTGGCCTCTTCCCGGTGGGACATGCCTGGAACACCTCCCTAGGTAGGCATCCGAAACAGATGCCCGAGTCACCTCAGCTGACTTCTCTCGATGTGGAGGAGCAGTGGCTCTACTCTGAGCTCCTCCCGGGTGACAGAGCTCCTCACCCTATCCACAGGGGTGCACCCTGCCAACCTGTGAAGGAAACTCATTTCAGCTGCTTGTATCCGAGATCTTGTCCTTTCCGTCTTGACCCAAAGCTCATGACAATAGGTGAGAGTAGGAACAGAGATTGACCGCTAAATCGAGAGCTTTGCCGTTCGGCTCAGCTCCTTCTTTACCACAACGGACCGGTACATCAACCGCATCACTGCTGCCACTGCACTGATCCGCCTGTCAATCTCACGCTTCATCCTTCCCTCACTCGTGAACAAAACCCCGAGATACTTGAACTCCTCCACCTTGGGTAAGGACTTTCCTCCAACCTGGAGATGACAAACCATCTTTTTTCCGGTGGAGCACTATGGCCTCGGACTTGGAGGTGCTGATTCTCATCCCAGCCGTGTCACACTCTGCAGCAAACCGCCCCAGTGCATGCTGAAGGTCCATGTTCGAAGAAGCCAACAGAACAACATTATCTGCAAATAACAGAGATGAAATCCTGTGTTCCCCAAACCGGACCCCCTCCAGCACAAGGCTGTGCTTTAAAATTCTGTCCATAAAAATTATGATCAGAATTGGTGACAAGGGGCAGCCCTGCCGGAGTCCAACATGCACTGGACACAAGTCGGACTTATCAAACACACAGGAGAAGGCGACTTGGAGAAGGCATTCAACCGTGTCTCTCGTGGCATTCTGTGGAGGGTGCTCTGGGAGTATGGGCTCAGAGGCGCTCTGTTAAAGGCCGTCTCGAACCCAGGAGTGTGGTTCAACCATCGGCCAGATCCTCCTCTGCAGTACCCTGGGATACACTTTCCCAAAGTTTGGCAAAGTCTATGCCAGGGTACTATTATTATTATTATATATATTTTTATTACTATTATTATTATTTGTATTGCTGCTACTACAACTGTTATTATTATTATTATATTTTATTATTATATTATTATTATATATTTGTTATTATTATTATTATATATATTTTAGTATTGTTATTATATTTTATTATTGTTA